GGTATCAACGGTTTTTATCACCGAATCGACGGGCTTATGCTGATAAAATTGATCGCTTCGAATGATTTTAAAACGATTTCGTTTATGACTGAGGCCTGTTCTTTTATTGGTGTCAAGTTGGCACGCTCGCATAACGCTTTCTGTCAGTATATCGTGAATATTATTTATGTTTTCATAAATTTTAGCTAGAAGCTCTTCAACAGCCGAAACAATTGTTCCTAGTGCTGTAAGAACAATTATGCTGTTTTTCACTATTTCCAATTTCAATCAGCAAATCTTAGAACTCTTCGGTAGTAACATCTTCTCTCAAATGGACTCTCATATCTTCTCTCATATTTTGCCATATTTTCGCTGAAATTCTCAACAAACGAACTGTTAAGCGCCTAAATTGTGCTCTTTGCGAATCAATGTGATGACAATAGTAAAGCTCGGCCGTAATCACGGAGCGGTTGATATTGCGTTCTGCTAATCGGAATGCCAGGGTTTAGAGCCCTAATTCGACCAGCAACCAAAATTAGTTTTCCTAATTACTGTAGCCCATGGCAGCGAATGTAAAGCCCTCCGAGTGTATTTCTGACATGAAATAAAGTATATATATATATATATTTGTAATCGCTGAAGCGATTTTCGGCCGAGCTTTCCCCCCAATTTGTGGTTTTGTGTTTTGATGTTTTTCCAACAAATGGAGGGACCTACAGTTTATACCAAGCCGCCTCCGAACGGATGATGGTTCTTTATGAGAAGTCTTATTTCAAGTCAGAAATACACTCGGAGGAATTAACATTTCCTGTCGAGGGGCAACCGCAATTAGAAAATTTAGCTTAATTTCTATTTAAATCATTTTTCCATAACTTTAGGATGTTGGTCGTACCAGGATTTGAACCCGATCCTTTCGAATGGCAATCCTCGGCTACCGCGGCCGCATGAAATAGAAGCTCTTAACAAAAAATCGATCGGCCGTTCGGAGGCGGGATAACTTCAAGATGCACCCCAAAAATTAGAGGAGGAGTTCGGCCGAAAATCGCTTTAGCGGTTACAAAGCGCCTTTTTATATATACAAACAAAGATATTAATAATGATTTATGGTCATGAATTCAATTTTAAATTTGAATTAGTATTGAATTCCGCACGCCGGACTTGTGATATTAAAAAACGGTTTACAATATATATCAGGCTGTATATATATGTGTATCAGTATGTATGTGCAAGTAGTGGACAAATATGACTGCATGATGCATTTGCAATGCGTTCAAATTTGCTTTGGCTGAATTCCTTGAATTCTCCGCACTCGCATTCGCACATTCATGCCGCAATTTTATGCGATGTACGTGTATGTATGTATGTTTTGGCGCATTGTTATGGTTGTTATAGCAACACTAAGGCGCAATGAACCATTCGACTTACAATATTGGGTGTTTTGTACGCAGTGTAGTGCCATATGGTTCAACAATTTTTGGCAGGGTATATTTTGCAGAGAAAAGCCAAATTAGTATGCAAAAAGTCTGCTGAATACTAATATTTAGATTATGAAATCATACCAGCTAGTCATTTCTAAAGCATTTCATCAGTAACGAGAGTCATAATAACTTCCACCACTGTATGTTGTTGTTATATCTAGCATGACCCGGCTGAGTTCAATTCTCAATTACCATCGGTTTGAGTGCGTAAAATGACGATAACCGAGTGGTTAACCGCTATCGCTTTAACGTGAGAGGTTCGCGATTCGAATCTCGTTGCATACAAATTAAGTTTTTTTTGTTTGTTTTTTAGTAGAAACTTAACAAGCCTTAATAAACTGGTATTTAACTAGTAGACAGCTGATGAACAGCAGGACATTTGAACGATTGAAAAGTCGTAGGAATTCACCGCGTTAAAAATGCCAATAGTTTACAAGACAAATAGTTGGAAGATGAAGTTCAGTTTTAGTTAATAAGCCTTGCAGTGTACTCGTGCATATAAAATAATGTCTGCCACAACCTAGTAATACGTAAACGTCTAAAATTTCATAACTAAAGTTTTTGGGAACAAATGAGTAAAAATCATTTCGCAGAACCATAAATGGATTTTTATGCCACTAATTCACCGAATTTCCAAATGAACTTAAGAATCAATTTTTGTTAAAAACAATCTCTATAGTTTCTTTTTAAAAGGTTCGACAGACCGGGAGATCACTTGGACGATTATATGAGAGTTGTCTTTTATTCGCTTTATTATGTTATTTTCTACGCAAGGGAATGCAAATTAGTATTTCGGTGCCAAGTCAAGACTATACGGTGGATGACTTTTCGGTGTTTTAAGTGCACAAAAATAAAGTTTGCTTGGAAGGGCATCGCACGCGAACTTTTTTTGAATGAGCTGTAGGTTCCTCCATTTGTTTTTCCTTCAGAGACACCACCATAATAAAAACGGGAGAGCTCGAATCATTTTTTTCACTTCAACCATCATTGTTAATTGTAATTTTAACAAACAAAATATGAGTATATACATATATAAAATTTAATCAGGGATTTTCGAATAAGTCAGTTCCTGGTGCTCTTTTCGGAATAAACTGTAATGTGCATGTCACAATTCTAATCAAGTTTCAAGAAAATCAAACCATAAATTCTATGCTTTGCGAATACGTGTATGTCGATACCTTTACTCCCACTTCAAATCCCGTACAGTATTCATATGATACAGGTACACGTTAGTTCAAGTAATAGTTGCAAACCATGGATATCTTTAATCTTGAGCAGAGTACATTTCTAACATGAAATAAAAGCTACTACCAGCAGGCGTTCGGAGGTGGGTTAGAATAAATTATACATAGGTCCCTTCATATATAGGAAACACACCAACACGCTCACCAGAAATTAGAGGAATAACTCAGCCGAAAATTGCTTCAGTGATTACAAAGCCTCAAATATATATGAAATAATTGTTCTTGCGATCTGTACGAGCCAAAGACCTTCTTTGTTGGTTTTAATTCAAGATGATATTATATTTTATATTGGAAAAAAAGGAATACACAGAGATCTTAATCTGCAAAAAAAAAAAAAAGATAGAAATAGGAGCGAGCAAGCAATGGAATGATCCGTTATAACGTCAACGCAACACTCTTTATGTTCTTCTTGTGGTAAGAACTTTTGGCACTGCATCATGATAATCAAAGAAAGCCACGAGTAAAACTTTAATAAATAAATAAACTTTACGTTCTTTTTACCTTTTGTCTTCTAATGAGTTACGACTCTTGACTTTATAAAAAAAAAACTTCACTTCCAAACATTTCATGCCCAAAAATATAGCCTGATATAAGCGAACTGTTATCTTGACGATTATATAATAAATCGATGACTACCCATAATAATTTTTTCAGTTTCTCAACACACTCATCACTTTTTTAGTTACCCAGGAGAAACTTAGTAATTTTCAATCTCTCAAAAGTCTGAGAAAATCTTGTACCAGTTGGAATATATTTTTTTGATTCAGAATAAATCAACTTCCGACAATTAAAATATTTTTGAGCATTTAAATATTTTTTGAAGCCAAAATTGTGTGCATTCAAAAGAAGAAAAAGAAGAAGAAAATTCTCTACTTTTAAAGTTAAAATTAAGGAAATCAAATAAAACTGTTGAGAACTTTTGAGTTGTACTTTTATCGCGGAATTTTAGTACAAAAATCCGCGTGTTAAAAGAACTCATAGTTACATTCGTCTGTTCTTTTATGTGGGAAAGCATATTTTTTTTCATTAAAATGTCGTAGGAAGGATTATGTAAAACGTCATCGGTCTTTATGATAATTTTTCTTATGCTTTCTAGCTAAAAATTTGGCGAATGCAGGAATTAATAAAAAAATATTATTTGTATTAACATATCTATATTAAATAAAATAAAAAAAAAACATAAAAAGTTTGAACTACGATTAAGTAAAAAAAATCAATAATCAAAAAAAAAAAATAATATCCAAATGGATTTTCCTTCTTATTATTTTTGAGATCTCTTTTTTTCCTAAACTCAAATACTGCATTTTCCTCTTGGTAAAACATTACACATTTTCTTAACAGAAATTTATTTTTAATTTTTTAAATTTATGTACATATATAATGCATGCAAGCACATCAATTTCTTAAATTAAAACATAAAAAATAAACAAATAAATTATGAGCTGAAATCTATATGCACATACACACATACCATGCATGCAGAAATGTCAAGCAATAATCAGAACATATTTAGAGGATTAAATATCTTTCAAATATATATATATATAATATATGCGCTGAAAATAACGCAAAATTAATTTCAATATATTTTTTTGTTTCTTTGCAAATTTTCACTCGTACATATACATACATACATACATACATACATACATATGTATTATGCACATTGAAATTTGTATTCAGCCGTCCCGAAATAAATTATTGTTTCATTAGCTGTTTGTCATTTTCATTTGCATTTCAGCACAAATCTGTTTCATTTTCTCCTTTTTCTTTTGTTTTTGCGTAGCAACAGCAACATCGCATCACTTGCTGATTTGCGGTAGGACCAATGCGCACTTTGCCCATACAGAAATGAAATTTTTAACTTCCGTCATTACTGTGGCCCAAAAAATGATGGCCATAGACAAACCATGCCAGCCATGTCGACAGAGCTGGCACAAGAGTGAATGCATTCACTTTTAATTAATTATATGTTGTTGTAGCAAAGCACTTTAGCCGCTTGGGTAGCCAAGTACTGAGTGGTGGTTGGTTTGGGGTATGCGAAAGGGAAAGAGGATGTTCGATGCGCCTTCTGCTTCAGTAAAGGCAATGGCTCTCATAGATTGTTCAATATTTTTGAATAAGTGACTAGAACAGACGGCCAACATTTGTGAAATAAATAAGTTGATATTATTATTCACTTAAGAAGCATTTACTTTTGCTTAGTGTGAATTCGTTTTTTTTTGTTTTTTTTTTGTTTTTTCGTATTACGTGAATTATAAATAGTCTGCATTGCTTTTTTCTCTGTGCGCCATTGCAGGTACCGAAGAGTATACACTTGCCATTAACGAGCTTGTCGTCGCCTCGTGTTTTAATGTGTAGTGCCTCAGTCGGCACCGAAGGTTCCGTCACACTACAATTGAGAGACTCGTCCGATTCCAATCAGTCGCCGACGCAAACTTCTTTAGAAAATGCCTTGACCATTGGCTATCCCGATCCGGAGATGTTGGCCGACGTATTCGGTTCACTGCAGACAGCCTGTAAGTATGCTATACATTGTGTGTATGTATGTATATATGTGTGTTTGTGTATTTTATAGTTACACTTTATGATGCGCTTCCTTTTTCATTTAACAATTTTTCAGCTTTCAAAAATCACAGCAGTGCGTTAGTCTCAGCGTCACCCACAACAACAACAACAATAACAGCAAATCATAGTAGTAGCAGCAGCAATTCCAATAACAAAACCGCAATAAACAACAGCAACAATACAAACAGCACGACGTGTAGTAGCATTAGCAACAACACCTCTGCCCCCTCCCCCGCACCAGCTAGCAAAATCTCAATAAGTCGTCGTAATCAAACTACATCGACAACAGCCACGTCCACCCCAGCGTCCGCACCGGCCAATGCGTCGACAACAACAGCGACAGCAACAGCAACGGCAACAGCGACAGCGACAGCTGCACACACGTCGAACAAAGCAGGCGTGCAAACAGTGTCCACAGCAACAAATACCACCAACAAAACGACCAGCAGTTACGTGAAAAATTGTCTCATACGCAGCAGCAGTTGCAGCAACACCAACAACGTCACTTCGCTGGCACAGATAATGAGCAATAGCAGCACCAGCAGCTCCTCATCGCTTCTGAATCACAGCAATACGAATAGCAACAGCAATTGTAGCAGTAACAGCAACTTTAGCTCGTCAAGCAGCAGCAACGATAGCATCGTCAGTGTTAACAGCAATACCAGTGGTGGTGGCGGTGGCGGCGGCAGCAGCGGCGGTGGTGTGCTGAAAAGTGCGACTAGCAGTAAGGGTGCCGCAACGGGTGGTGCGTCAAGTGCGACGTTGAAAAAGAATCGTGCCAAATTGTCCTCACCAACACGGCATGGGCCGCAACAGTGTCAGGTAAGAAGACGTGTATAAGATTGAGCGTGTGCAGAGATAGAGGGTGTTGCAGTATGTCGATTTATTTCGATGATAGAATGTCGTGAGGTGTGACTGATTTTCAAGTACAAACAAAATTACTCTCATATTTGGGAAATGCGTGCAACAAAAGTTGGCTCTGCTGTAAATTTGTATGTATTGTTTAGAATCAAGGACATGTGTGGCTCCAATTTAGGTTTGATTGACAAAGGAAATGAAGTAAAAAATTGGTATAAAAATGATGGGTGAAATTTTGAAAATATTAAAAGTATATGCAGACCTTCAAGTTAAATAGAGAGAGCTAAAATATGTCGTGGCAATTCAGAATGAAGTCGTTCCACAGGAAAGTATTATCAACTTTAATATGTTAAGAAATGAAATATTGTATGCATAAATATTGAGAATTCTTTGGCTCCAAAACATAGAATGGAGTGCGAAGTTCGCTAAAATTATAGGTCAAATTTTTAAATTTCTCTAAAATTTCCTTTTTTTATTGAAGAAATCTACAACAGTTGTTATTAAAAATGTCTTGTGAGATGAAGAAGAAGAAGCTGTCAAATTTTACTAAAGGCAAGCAAATATAATAGATAAATTTTAAATGGTATTTCAGTTAAAACTATAAAGGCTGTATGGAGTGCAAATCTCGTAGTGAGAAGAAATTCGTATTCCTTACGAGAGATAAGCATCCTAATCATAAAATAGTATTCAAAAGCACGAGTTTACAGTTCCCAACATTTTAAAAATAAAAAATTTGATAATTTATTAATATATACTATTTTTTTGAATTGATTGACTAGAGTTGAAACAGGTTAAACTGAAATTTTCCGTAAGGACTGTGGATTGCATCTAAAGATTTTGATACAATATTAGGTCAAGTAAAAAGTTAGTTCGGTTTTTATTTAAGAGTTGGCATTGTTGTCCATATTACTGGTGTTACGTGTCGCTTCATGTCATTCTAAACGGCGCTGAAAACGTGTTTATCCGCGCTAAAAGTTTGTCTTTGACAGTTTTTTGATTGATTGACCCAGTACGTTGTGAGCGCTCGTCAAAGATGGACACCAGCAAAGAGAAAATTCGCTATATTTTACAATTTTTCTTCGATCAAGGTAAAAAAGCAGCCAGAGCGGCCTGAAAAAATTCATTTAGTTTATGAGCCCGATATTGTAAATGAACGTGTAGCACAAAAGTGGTTTGCTAGGTTCCGTTCCGGTAATTTCGATGTCAAAGAAGTACCACGCGTCGGGAGGCCTGCCGTCGAAAATTGTGATAAAATCATGGAAATAGTGGAAACAGACCGTCACGTGAGCACTTATTTATTTGCTGAGGAGCTAAAGGTAAGCCAGAAAACCGTTTTGAACCAATTGCATGTTTGTGACACCCACAAACTAACCCAATAAACATGATGGACCGAATTTCCATCTGCGAATCGCTGCTGAACCGCAACAAAATCGCCCCGTTTCTGAAGCGGATTGTGACGGACGATGAAAAATGAGTCACTTACGACAACATCGAGCGCAAACGGTCGTGGTCAAAGCTCGGGAAAGCGGCCCAGACGGTGGCCAAGACCGGATTGACGGCAGGGAAGGTTTTGCTATGTGCTTGGTGTGATTGGCATGGAATCATCTACTAAGAGCTGCTCCCCTATGGCCAAACACTCAATTCGAAGGCCATATTTGATCAACAGAGGCCGAATTGTGTTCCATAAGGACAACTTCAGGACACACACGTCTTTGGTGACGCGCCAGAAGCTCCAGGAGCTCGGATGGGAGGTCCTAATGTACCCACCTTATAGTCCGTACCTGGCAACAAGTGATTACCATCTTTTTCCTGTCCATGACGAGCGCGCTTAATGGTGATAAGTTAGCCTCAAGAGAGGCTTGTAAAAATTGGCTCTCCGAGTTTTTGCCAATAGGGACGCCTCCTTCTACGAGGGGCATAATGAAGTTTACGAACAAAATGTTGGACATTTGACTTAAACCGGACAAATGTACACAAAGTTATCATATTTGGAAAAATCTATAAAAAAAAAAACCTAACGAACTTTTTACTTGACCAATAAGTAAAGTAAAACAAATCGAGGGCATCAATTTATAATATTATTGTCTAATGCTGAATTTCATGTTTAGAGATGCTTTTAAGACAGAATTATAACCCAAAATATCAGATCTGAAAAACTGGCAAGAGACATATATATGCATATGTTATAGTCTCGATCTGGCTTGATTTCAACGAATGATCCAGGCAATATAAGAGTAGGTTATTTACGTGCCAAATTTGACAGACGGCCAGACGAACAGACAGCCGGACGATAGACGGTATGGTATACATTTTTGGCGGGTCTCTCTGTTCTCCTTCTAGTACTTACATATTTTATTTATTTATCCATTTATTTCAAAAACTAATATTACAATAAAAAACTAAAATTTAGCTGAGTAGCCATAGTAACAACAGGCCTTAAACTGAGTAAGTTAAAAATAAAATTTAAGACTAGCCGAGATCTTTACAGCATTTTATTTATTTTTTAATTGGATAATTTTCGCAATCAATTCAATTCTTAAAAATTCCAAATATACAAAAATTAAAATCAAATAAGGGAGGCTAAACCAAAAATTAAATATTATAATAAATTTTACTTTACTTGAGGAATTTAATAATAGATTCAACAGTTTCGTTACTAGATTCAGATAGTAGTTTTAATGGATTTTTATTATTAAAAATTTTGTTTCTAATATAAGAAACATTTTGACAATTAAAAAGCAAATCCCTAACTTAGGCTACTTGAAAATAATGGCAAAAGCTGCAAAATTAGGAAAAAGAGCTATCCAACAAATGTGTGAATCTAGTATGTTCAAGTTTTAGACGAAAAAATTTTACAAAAACTATTATTTTAAGTTCCGATTACATACTTCGGACCATAATATGGACTATAATGCTCATGAAATGTGTAAAAGTGATGAGTTAAGAAATAATTCCATTTTTTTTTATTAAACTGAAAAAGCTTTATTCAATGCAAAAAATATTTCTTGGTATGGTTGTCACCTGAATTTTTAATGTAGAATAAAAATAACCAGGCCTTTAGTTTACTTAATACTTATATCAATAAAATTCATGTATTGTATATCATGGCCGCAAAAGTAATCAAAAAAAAATTTCAAATCTAATATAGCTGAAATGTTGTAATATATGTAAGAAGCTGATGAGTGCTGAGAAGGCTAACAATGTAAACACTTTTTAATAAATCTTCGGTTTAAAACAAAAGTGAATAAATTGAAATGAACAGATGCAGTAACTCGAGGGCAAAAAAAAGTATTAGTCGAAAATATCAATCAAGAGACTATTGACATATTTAATTAATAAATTGTATACAATCTGATAACATGACTTTCACTTTAGGAATTAATGAAAAATTACTGAGAAAAAATATTTGAAATGAATGAAATAGGAAGACTCGGCTTTCGGTACTTATAAAAGCCTATATTGAAGGGGTTAGATGGGTTCCATTGCTTAAAAAAAGTTTTATTTTTATTGTATTATTTATTACTACAACATTTTGAGAAATTAATTTCTTTTACGTCAATCCGAATAAAAGCTTCGGAGATACAGCCTTGGAAAGGTGCGTGCTAAAAGTCAGATAGGCTCAGCGCTTTAAGCTCTAAGCGCTTTTTTCTCGAAACTTTTTCTAAAAAGTCTGTTATTAAAAATTCTAGAAAACTACCCAACCGTTCTTAATAAAATTAAGAGAAATGGGAGGAATTGGACGAAGTCTTTTTTTCTTTCAATCACAATCAATTTTAAGAACAATATTTAGCAAATTTTACCAATTTTTTTTTCGGAAAAGGTCGCAAAAAACTGAATTTTCATTTTTATTTCCTGCGCCCAGATTTTAGTTTATGTTATTAACTAAAATACGATTACTTCGCATAATTTTGTCATGAATTCTATTGTCAACCGTGGCGCAACTTTTTTCGAGACGTCACCGGAAATGACGTCACATTGGCGGAGTTATGAATATTTTCCTTTGAAAATTTTTTGAAACTATTTTTTAAATGTATATAGAGAGTAAATAAGTAGTTTGAAGAAGAGATTTTAAGATTTAAATAAAAAATTATTGTTGAAAATAGACCTTTTTTTCTGAATAAGGGCATGTGATCCCTTAAATCTTGATATTGATAGAAATTGGAGCGGATTTGAAAAATCCTAAATAGTTGTATCCAATTACAAACTTCACACACAATTAGAAAAGATGTGTAGTTTCAAACGACGATATAAGGGATATACAGTGATTTGAAAAGGCCAGCGAGATACTCAAAAATTTTTTTATGTTTCAGTTGCGTTGGCTTAAAAAGGTGAACTGGTAACGAGCATTCGTAAAACAATAACTGAAAACTGGGCGCTTTAGAAAATGCAAATAAGAACTGACAGATTGCATCGCTATCTTTGAAGTAAATGTTCGGTTGAGAGAATGCAGGTTAGAACCTTTGTATGCTCTGCCCAGTAAAAATATTAACCGATCACTGCAGTTTGAGAGCTTAAAAGTCACCGCACATTAGTTGATCAGTTTTTTTCTGAGTGCGACTTAAGGCCTGACTATGCAACATGCACCAAATCTTTGGAAAAACTAGTGAGAAAAGGCATGCTTTAAGAATACATTTCCTCTTCAACATCCTCACCCTCCTAACCACAAATATATTTTTGTCGATTTTAAATTTGGTACGCTGCCGTGACATAAACCGGTATCCCAGCAAAAAGGGTACACGGTGTAGTTCATTTTCTATGCAATACCAGCTGAGGGAAGCAGAGGAAGAGAGACATTTTTTATTATATTTTTTTCTTCTCCTCTAAAAACATCTAATGGCCGAGTGGTTAGCTGTGTGAACTCGAAAGACCTGGATTCTGGATTCTCGTCCGACCTAAGTCATGGTAAATAGAAAATTATTTTTTCTAATTGCAATCGTTCCTCAGCAGGGCAGGCAGCCAAGCAC